AAATTGTGTATTTAATTTGCTTAATCATAGTCAACATCCCAACACCAAAACCAAACTTGCTGCCATTGAGTTGATATTGACTCACAGCGACCCCCGTTGGGTTTCCAACACTGTACATTTTTATGGAAGCAGACTGCCTCATCTTTCTTCTCAGGACAGGCTGGTGGGTCTGAACCACCAACATTTCGGTCAGCAGTCAAATGCCTTAACCACGGCCCCTGTGCTCCCCATTGTAGTAAACACAGTTGTAAAGTGCATGTCTGACGACTCCATTACCTGCAGCACATCTGAGTCTTTTGCTACATTTGCTGTTTCTCCTGATTTTCATTCCTGTTGTCTTGCTGCCTCCTCACGTGTCCAGTTGTTTTCAGTCGAGTGCGAGACATCTCATGCGAAGGAGCAGAGGGGCCTGGGGTGCTGTCCTCCCCCAGAGGAGATTTATGTTTGCTTCTGGCAGACAGACGGGGGGCCATCAGGCATCAGCACTACTTATCTGTAGAGACTGCAATCATCTCCATTCATTCGTAGAGACTGTGGCGCTACTTGAAGTTTGGCATCAGCCCCTGTAAGGGCATGTGTCCTTCTGTTTTACTTTAATTTCTAGGGTGTAGTCCTTGGGTTCCTGATCCCAAGGATGAGCATTTTGATGGTCACAGATCCCCCACTTGCTCCCTTAGTCCTATAAGAATGTCACAGACCTGATCAGCTTGTGGCTTGTCACCACTTCCACAGCCGGCAGACTCCACTGCTGGGCTTGCGTCTCTGGGTATTTTGCTTCTAACAGATCTTAGTCCCATCATTCTTTACTTTCTTTACTGCCTCCTTAGCTCTCTGCTGCTTTCAGATACTTTTTTTTTTGTTTTTTTGTAGAATGTTCCCAGGCATCTTCAGTGAGGAGAGTTGTTCCAAATTACCTAGCCTTCCTGAATCAGGATCTGCATTTCCTAAAAAAATTATCCCAAGAAGACTTTGACATTGATACCTTATTGCCCTATTTTACAGATGAGGAGAGTGCAGAAGGGTAACATTTCTTGCTCTGAAGTGCAGGCTCTAAGCTACCATGCTACATGGGCATATCATATGTCCATTTCCCAGTCAGAAACCAACGCCTGCATCTTGGAGCGCTGTAGGCTTGGCCCAGTGATTCCGTCTTCCCTGGGGCCTGCAGGTGTCCTGTCACCGTGCCCCCACAGCCGTCCCCCCCACTGTGCGGTCACCTCACGAGGACAGGACGGTGTGTCTGCATTCTCTGCTGTCTCCCCAG